TCATGGATTTAATGTGCTTCCTCCAGCTGGAAATCCACGAAACGAATTATGAAAATTGGAGTTGGCATGCACCTATTTCTGAATTCATTGAAAATAGAAAAGTATTTGAGGAAAATGCAAGGAAGGCAACTTTACAACATGCAATTAATAGAAACAGTGAGTAAAAAATAAGGCATTATTTTCCCATGAAAACTCTTCTAAAGTTTATTGACCTGACATTTTATCACCTCCACAACAAAACACTCCACAAAATGCTTTAAACATTGATGAAATAGAACGAGAGGAAGTGCTTGTAGTTGCCAAATCATTTTTCGCATTATTCTTAGGGGTATGATAAGTTACACATCTCATCATGAATTTAGTTGGAATTTCCAAAATGTGTCTCTGAACAACAATCTTTTCTGAATTGATTGCTGGCATGTCCAGACCTGTAATTGAAAAGGCAGAAGAGCTCGTATCTGTATACATTGTATCAAAGTAAATTTGAAATGAATCATATTCAATTTCATCTGCAGTACTCATCAGTGATGAATGAGAGGCATTATCACTCTCTTGATCATTGATCATATAGTCCCATACTGGCCTTGGTTCATCTCTGGTTTGACATTTTCTTGGCATGATATTAATTTGGAAAGGTGAGTTAATAGTTGGATTGAATCTCAACTCTCCAAAGAAGGAACTACTCATAAAGAGCTGATCACTCATAGAAAGGAAATCCTGTGGATTCACATGATTGAAAACCATTGTCTTGAGGAGGTAGGTCTTTTGCTCATTGGTCATTTGATCATAATTAATGAAGGGAACAAGTTTGGCAAAATTTCTCACCATTGACATGCAATTATCTTTCACCATGTGCCTTCTGGCCTCCCTGGTGGTGTGTTTTCTAATCATCTTATTTCTATATTGTTTCAATTGATTTCTATTAATCGTCAAATAGTCAATCACAACATTTGGATCTTCCTTTTCATAATACTTCATCAAGTATTGCAATTTGGTTTGTTGTGCCTTGGACTCTAGAGAAGCAAGCTTTGGAGAAAAGTAGTCTGAGAAATAACGAGGGCAAAAGTCGTGTAAAATAAAATAGAGCAAAACCTTTCCCACCTTGATTGGATCATATTCGAACTTCTCTCTTCAAAAGCGAATTTGGTATTTTCAAAAAGACCTTTCGTTCGTTTTCTTTCTTCTGGCAAGACAACAGCTGTTGCTTGACTACTCTTCTTGAAAAATCGTGACTTTTTCTTTGGTGGTTGTGTGATCGAAGTGAATGGATTAGTGCCGTGTGAAATGGATGGATAGGGTGAGTTGCCATTGACTGGAGTGAATTTTGGTGGCTTTTTAAAGTCACCAACTGTTGCTGACATACTGTTAGAAGGGGAAGGAACAGGCTGATAGGAAGCTGCCTTATTGAAAGGATGAAGATGATTTACTATTCATAGGAGATGTACCACCCATGCCTGTCTCTCCAAGAGAATCAAACTCGAATACCTTGCCATCAACACCATCTTTAAAGATGGATCCAGATGAGACTTCAATGAGATCCTTTCTAGGATTACCATCAGCAGATCTGAAATTGTGATAGTACATTGTAATCTCTGGCATTTCTACAAAACTAAAGTGTCTTTCGTGAGATGGAAATTGAAAATCAATGTGAAGTGTAAACTTGTCGAATACTCTCCAATGATTAGCAACAATTAGAGATTTAGCACCATTGAGAGCAACTCTTTGCGAATCGGAAATGTCCAATTCATTTGGATCAGTAAACTTGTTAGAGACTGTCTGCTGTCTCAGCACACTTCCAGATTGTCTCAGCTCTATAATGGTTTTGAGCAAGTCTGACAAGACATTGCTCGTTGTTGGCATATCAGAATTTTGTTGTTTTGAAGACCCAAATGGTGATAGAGTCCTACTACTATTCTTTCTCTCGTTTAGTATTGGCTTTAGGAATGCTTGATCCTTTTTCAAAATTTCTAATTGACTAATAGTTCTTGGAATGGTACTCTCTGACTGTTGATCTTGTCTATTTCTGATAACAATCTTTTCCAAATGATCAATCCATGGATTGCTCTTTGAAAAATCAATATCAATCTCAACCTCTGCATCATTTAATCTTTTAAAACCAAATTCTTTCACCCAAAAGTCTATGATTGCATCCTTAAAACGTGTATAGGCATTGAATTGCATGCAACGAATGGGCACAAATATGGTAGGATGATATCTATTCCTCAATACCTCTCTCAGATAGGGTGTTATCTGTAAATGATTAGATTTGTAATGTCTACTCGATTTCTTATTCGAATTCTTGGAATTCAACTTTTTGAAAACTTGTCTATAGATATAACTCAAGTGAAATTTGTTATAGAACGATCTACAGGTGCATGTTAAATTCTCAAATTCAGGTATGGAACAATACGAAAGTATCACACCAATCGTATCATCATCAAGTTTTGTAATGACACAACTGGTTGCTAGTAAACTACTACTCAAAGCAGATTGATTCGATGTGGACGAATCAAAACTTGGTGTAGATTGAGTGGTCATATCTGTTGGAGAACTCACCTCAATTAAACTCAATTCATCATGGAATGAGAAGGATGTAGAATGAGTTCCATTACTATTCTCAATTTTGTGTCTGAAAGAGGCACCCAATGACGATTCATCATCAAATGTTTCTACATCTCCCTCTTGTTCAACAACATCATTATCATCATCAGAAATTATTATGGATTGATCCTTCGCATCAACATGTTGATGATAATTCCCAGCCATCATCATTGATGTTGTTGTATTATTGGTACTCGTTAAAGGTGTTGTTATTCCTTTTGAAAGGCTTGTTTTTGTATGAGCATGATTATGTTGTTGATCATCATCATGTTGTGCGAATGTTATTGTATGAAGTTGTTGTTGTTGCTGCTTCTTGTTATTAGAGTGATGAATTATTGTATGATGGGATGATGCATCTTCATGAGGTTCTTCTTCAGAATGTTGCTCTTCTTCCTGGTCTTTGCTTGCAATAAGAACAACATGTTTGGTGGAGGTTGTGCGTGTCTTGTCTTTTTTAGTAAAAACCGCCTGTAAAGTCTTCATCGACATGTCTTGTTCATGAAGATGGTTGCTTGTACATCCATTATCTTGTTGATGATGAAGTTGTTTATCATCTGGACAATGTTTGTTGTTGTTGTCGACTGATTCATTATTGTTAGTAGTAGTGGTAGTTGAGGTAGATGTGGTGGTAGTAATGAAGATTGTATTATTGGCGGGAGAATTGGCTTGATTATCAGATATTGTTGTTGTTGTTGGAACATTATTCTTCTTCTTCTGCTGTGGTAGTATCGATGCGCAATTATCGATTATCGTTGTAGGATGATGTTGAGAGTTTGATAATTTTTCATCATTATCATTTGAAATATTTCTCATCATCGTATCGTGATTACTTGGTCGGAAACATAAAACGGAAGAAGATTCACTCTGGTTCATAATATTGTAGCTGCTGGTTAAAATTTGATTCGTTGTTGTTCCTGATGTTGTTGTTGTTTGATGTTTAGTTTCATTGTCTTGTTCCGATTTTTTCCCTACTTCATTGTTTATTGATGGTAGTAACATGGAAAGGTGGATTGCAAGATATCCAATAAAATTACTTGATGAAGAAGTGGTTTGATGAAGTTGAAGGCTGTCACCACTGATCGTTGCTCAAGTTTTTTTTATTGTTTTCTTCGAACTTTTTGGACATTGACTTTTGACACATTCGGATACTTTAGCAACACACGGGCCGATTTAAGCCATACTAAGCTCATTAAATCAAAAATCATAGTTTCAAATAATAAATTGGAATAACTGAAGAAAACTGAAAGGATACGCTGAAGCATTGTTTTATTAAGGAAAAATTCATTGGCTGGTAGAAAGTGTTAGAATCGTGCTTTCGTCGTGCTTTGCTTCGTTTTGATTGAAAACAAAATGTCATATGAACACATTCTATTCATTGATGAGGTTTGATTTAAGGATTAGCCACTTGACTGTTGTATGGTCAACAGACCTCTTTTTGTAGATGCAATTTTGATGTATTTGGAAACTATTTCATCCAATTTGAATTGTTTGATGCTAAATGTCACAACATTCAATAGATTTAGGTTCGAGATGAGTGTTAATGCTAGCATTGTTGGTTACTTTTTCTGGATACCTTTAGAGATTTGCTTCCACTTGTCAACCGTTTCTCTCACCTTCTTGTTGGATGATTTCAATCTTTCGAATACATCAGTAATATCCATAACGCAATGCAATTCAACCTCTTCAAACAACCTCTTGCTGATCTTTTTGGATTTTGTTGTGGTTCCTTGATTGGTTTCAAACAGTGCAGTTTCAATTGTAACAATTGAATTAGCTCTCAAATCTGCTGGCAAGTTCAATTCAACTGGAGCATTTTCGAGAAGATAGGTATTAAAGATGAATTTACCAACTCTTGGTCTATTCTTTTTAGAGCTCTTCTTGAATTTTTGAATATCTTTCCAACATTGAACGCTCTCTTGACAGTAGGATCTTCTTGCATAGTCTAGTAAAATATCATATGTCTTCTTATTTCTGAGAAAGATTTCAACGATGGATAGCTCTTGCTTGGTTTGCATTTTCTCTTTTTTGGATTTCTTGTAATCTTCCACAATGGCATAAATACATGGCAAAGTCACACAAACAAATAATTCAATAACTGAATAAATAATGGTAACGTTTGCATAAGTGACAAAGTAATCTGTCAGATACTTGATAATATTCAAATTGCTCACTATCAAATAAATAATTCCCAAAACAACTTGAAAGCAAAATATGATAACAGTCTCTCCTTTCATGAACCATGTGTCTCTATCTGTGAAAAAGCACAATATTAAAAAGATTAGCTCAACAATCATATAAACTGCAACTTGAGCTCCCATGATAAAAACTACATTATTAGCAATAATACACCCACGTGTGAAATCAAATGGTCCAACATTTAGTACGAGTAGTCGTTTTGAGTTTTCATTGGATCCATCCTTAATAGTTTGATCAATACCTGACAGGATTAACCACAATGCCAAATGAACAAGACACAATATAATATAAGTTCCAATAATGAATTTGTAAGAGAGAATGAATTTGTAAATTTGAATTTTCTTCTGTGGTTTGTAGGAAATCTCAGTATATTCATCTCCAGATGTAATTACTGAAGGAGCATAGGTGCTTTCAGTATCAGCTGCAGAGCTTCTTGCATTCGAACTGTTGTCATCCAAAAAATCCTGGTAATCGAGAAGAATATCACCAAAGAAGAGTAAATTACTCTCTTGAGGAGGTTTTTCAGTAGGAATTGGTTGCTGCTCTTGTTGTGGTGATGATAGTTGTGAAACGTTATTAGTGTTGGCAGCTGTTGATGTGGTAGCTGTACTTGATGTCGAAATATTGTTATTCTTCATTAATTCTTCTGACAGACTGACTATTGATGGATTACTGGCAAGTGTTGGTGATGAAATACTTGCCATTTCAACCAACGTTGTTCCATCTTCAATTTTTGGTTGAACGAGAGTTTGTTTTCCTTCCAACACTTGTTTAGTTTCAACATTCAGTCTGTAGAGAAAGAATATTCTCACACATTTGAAAATTGTTGGCAATAATCCAGCAAATGCCAACATGAACATGTGGATAGAACCCAAAGCACAAGGGTATATTTTACGCCCAACCACGAATTTCAACTCTCCTGTTTGTACATAGAAAAAACTTGTTATCATTGTTAAAATCAAATACCAAATTCCTCTACTAGTAATATATCCGTGTTTCCTCTTGTAAAATAATAAAACAGAACTAATTAACAGTAGAGACATGTGCACGAGCATCACGAGTCCAGAACTAAGAGGTACAAATATCGTATCTGGACAGATGCCATTTGTCACTTGTGGATCTGCCTCCATACTCAACGAACCCATCTCAAACAGTACATCATTGCATAGGGTATTATTTGGTTTCATCTTGTTTTTTTTGTTGTTAGAATGTTGACGAATAGAATGTTGCGCAACCACCACTGAAGTGCCTGTTGGCTTAGTGGATTTCTTTGTGTCAACATATGAATTGCCTTTTGGTTTAACATTTGACACAACCCAACACTAGACAGGCCACACACCAAATATTGATTTTCCTTAAACAGCGAAAGGAGACACCAACTATCTAATAGTAATCTTTGACGCTGATTTCAACATCTTTTTCATCACAAGATTTTTGTTATTAGCCTCTTTTTCTGTAAAGTGGCATTCCTTAAGCTATTAACTCCTTGAGAGATTCATATCCAATAAATTATTGATGATGATTTGAGGCTTTTATAAAACAACTCTTCTAAATATTTTGGAGCCTACAGGAGAATCCCTTCTATTATCAGTCTTCATTTCCATTTAGCATCTTCAGTTTCAACGAGTCGAAGTGAGACAATTTCCCTGAGTGGAGTGTCCAATAAACGATCCTCTTATGCCGATGATACAATGTAATTAAAATTATTTAAATATCATTATTTAATATCATGAAATAATCAAGGAAAAAGCAAACTCTCATCATATTGATAATATTTTTTAATGTAATTTTTTTAATTTTGAAATTATAATAAAAAATGCAAAGATGAAATTCATCATTCATCGTCGTTACTTTGCTTTGATGATTTCTTACTTCGAAAAAGAAGTATTATATAAAACATGAGGGCCATTTTCAATATATTTTATAAATTTAAATTGTTTCAAAAGTTAGGGCAAAATCACAGCTTCCGATTGTTATTTAATTGTTCGCTTATGATGAGTTTGGAAGATGGATTGCTGATGGTTAAATTATCTTCCAACGGAACTTTTGGATTTTTCAAATTTGGAAGTGAATCAGCAAAGAGGTATTTGGAAAGTCATAATTGAAAGTTTCTGAAATATTTTAAAATATCAATTTAAATTTTATTGAGAAGTGAATTGAAATAGTTATAGATAAGGAAAACAATTAAGAAAAACCTTGAAAGATTCAGATCAGAATTTTAACACTTGTTAATAGCTGGACAATTGCTTGGATGGAAGAAAACACTGGAATCAACAGTGTCAACCATGTCATAAAAACTGGATTCCAATGAGGCTAGGGCACTTGTTGAAAAAGCGTTCATGGTCAGCAAAGTCCTTCTCTCTTGAGAGTACCCAACAAAACCCACATTCCAAAGGAAAATTTTCATTCATATTAGTTATCTTTAAAGACTCTGGTTGAGGTTGGAGTGAGTTCTTTACTCATTGTCTTTCAAGATTGATGCTTAAAACAAGTACATTGACTATTCATAACCATGTGAGTAACAACATATTCATGCCATTGTGTTGGAAAATAGTCATTGAATTTCCATCCACTACGAGCCAAGCGGTCGTCGAGCTGTACATTAGAATACAAGTAGAAGTTGGTGGTTTTTGTTGTTTTTTCCAGTTGCCATTTTTATTTTCTAAAAGGTTTAACCAGCAGCCTCCACTTGTATTCTAATTACAGCTCGACGATATTTTGTGAGTGGTTGGCTCGAAGTGATCAACAACATTCTAGAATTGGTCAAGTCAATGTAGGCCTCAATTTGAATCTTCTTAACAGTGCGTCCGTGAGTAGTAGAATTAGTAAGTCCTTGAATGATTTCATTGGAAATAGTGAGTTTTTCTGGGAAACAACAAACATTCTTATCTTGAACAGAGAGGTTGTAAGGAGGGAGAATCTTTGAGAACATTCATACTCAAAGACTGAGAAAGCTTGAACAGCACTTAAGGCGCAACAAACTAACAATGCAGAGGCAATTGATTTAGACATTTTTTCTTGGTTATGGATATGCAGCAGAGCCTTAGGCAGTTTAAACCAATTAATTTCTTAGTCGTGCATGTACCGATTCAAATAAACATGCGTCCAACTAACTGAACCGTTCTTTCCAACAAGCGATGGAGAAGGAGAATATTCCTCCGAAAATTATACATACTCAAGTTGTTGACAACACTCTATTTGTAGGGTAAGAGTTCTATATTTCAGAATTTCACAAGAGATCGAATTTATTCCATTTCAGAAATTTGATAAGATGACGACCAAGTACCAAGAATATTTATTTTGTTGGCTTGATCAACAATTTTAGATTTGCTGGTCTGATTGTAACGTTTTTCATAGCCCTGACTTTCTCTTTGGATTCGTCGTTCAGAAGAGTGAATTCAAAGTTTTGCAACAAGCGCACCAAAATCATACAAGCTTCCAGTTGAGCAAATTGAAATCCCTTATTTTCATATTAGCCACATTAGCCAACAACTCTATACTTACAATACACTTTCTTTGACCCATAGAAAATGAAAGAAATGTAAAATCATGTTGAGATTTGTTTCTTAGCTCCATATCCATAAATCTATCTGGTTGATACTCTTCAGGATCTTTCCAATATTCCTTACTTCTATTCACTCCATAAATGAACACAGTGACAAGGGTATTCTTTGGAATTTCATAATCTCCCAACTTGACATTCTTCACTGTTTGTTTGGCAACTGAAAAGACAGGAGGATGAAGACGAAGAGCTTCCAAAATAACACCTGTTGTGAATGGCAATGCTTGTACAGTTTCATAATTTGGCTTTGCCTTGTTAGGAAGTACTGAATTGATTTCTTCTCTAGCTCTTTTCTGATACTCAGGGTGTTTAGCCAACTCGTATAAAACCCATTGCAACGATGAGGATGTTGTCTGAATTAATTATTAATTGAAAAAATTAATCACACAATTTAAAATAACAAACCTCCTCTCCAGCAAGTAAGAAAATCAATGAATTGCTCTTTAGCTCCATATCTGTCAAGGTCTTTTCCTCAGCATTTGCCTTGACCAACAAGCTCAGAATGTCCTTCTTTGAGAAATTACCAAAATCACTTTCCAATTCCTTCTTTCTATCCACAATACTATTATTCAAAACTCTATTCACAATGGAAACAGCTTTATCCACTCCTAATAATCTCTGTGACCACTTGTAGAGAAATGGATTCTTTCCAAAGAATCTCTGTACTAAAAGACCCTTAGAAACTAGCAAATTAACTGCATTCTTGAACTCCTCAGCATGTGAATCCTCTCTATCAAACATTCCAAATGAAACTTTCAATCCAGCACGACCTAAAACCTCAACAGTTACGGTAGACATGGCTTCACCAATTTCATCATCTTTCAATTCGAAACTCTTACCAGAATGGCTATTGATCCAACGATCCACCAACAAATCAGTGCATTCCACAGCCTCCTCACACATGTACTGCAAATTATCAATGGAAAATGCTGGATGTGCCACTTTATGATGTCTCTTCCAATCCGAAACATCTGGTGCACTCAACACATTCTGCCCAAACATTTCAAACATGCTATAGATGAATTCTGGTTTTTCAAAACTTGATTGTTTTGTTACAAAGAATTCCTTGAGCATTTGCTTGTTTTTGATCATGACAGTATTGCCTCTCACAAATGACATTCTCAAAACTCCATTTCCATCAGAAAATTCATCAAAGGCTTTTTCAATTCCTTCAAAATTGCCAAGATAAATACGAGGAGCAAGAAGAGGAATTCGGAATGGAGCAAATAAATATTGGAAATGACCAGGAATGTGTGCAAGCTTTTTATAATTAATGTACAATATGATGGTGGCATACAGAAACCACAATAGGAAAATTACAATTCCTGCCGTGATGAAATAACTGCATAAATTGAGCAAGAATTGGAGGGTTATCATTTTTTTTAATATCTAATGATTATTTTTGAAAGGTAGGCTGTTATTTTGTCTAGATATCTTTTGAACAAGGTAAATTTCAAGGTAGGAAATCTTGTTGACTTTCCACTTTGAATTATTTCAATAATTAAATACAATTATTTATTATTATCATTGTGTTTTCTTGTATCAAAATCTGTTTTATGCATTCTCCACTTGATCTGTTGACCACTTTTCATTAATATTTTCCGTTGATTTGCTGTTTCAGAATAAAAAATTACAGATTAGGGTGGATTTTTCACATATAGTCATTTTTATTACCTGATAACATGACAAGTAAAACAATTCAAATAAAGATGTTGACCTTAATTTAGATTATGTTTTGTTATAAAGAATACACTTTTGAATATTTTTCAAGTCCTTAAATTGTTGCCACACAAAACACCTTCCAGACTGTTTCACCATAAAGATGATTCAAACTTTGAACTTTAATACTCAAATGTCTAAATATTATTTGAACTTTATTTTGTGTGTTTATTATTGAAACATTAATGTCTCCAAATAAAAAACACTTGATTTATTGGGAATGAAATTTGATGAATATAATGGGCAACAAATGAATAAACGAAATTGAATAAATAGAAATAACAAGTCTTTCATTTGAATTATACAAAAAAAACAAAATGATTTACATTCATAAATCCAATCAATACCTTCATTGTAAATTTCACATAGGTGAAATATTTGAAATTTTTGAAATACAATTTTGTAAGTACTTTTTTGATTTTTGCTTTTTTAATTTTGTTTTATAGTTTTTCAAGAAAGTTTGATGCAACAAAAGAAATACATAACTCTAATAACTTCACCTAACAATGCCACTCGAGTGCATAATTTTTGCATTGTTGTTATCAATTTTCTATTTTACCAAATCTTTATCTTCTCTTCTTCTGATCACCATTTAAATCATCACCACCTGAATCATCATTCTCTAAGAAAGTGACTAAATAAACAAACTATATTTTTAGAAATCAAAGTTGAAAATATAGTTCAGTAAAATTTGAGAAAGAGAAAACTGAAACTAAATTGAGGAATGATAATAATTTATTTAAACTGGAACTTGAACGTTAACTTGATTACAAGATTGATCCACAATTTCACTCATGGTACCAGATAAATCAGTCCAAGAAACAGTAATAGCTCTAGTTGAATCATAATTCATACCTTCGATTTGTCTTGAACCCCAAACATTGGTCATGGCGTCACCGACAGCCATAGCAACAACCTTCCATTGAACCTTATTGTTTCCATTATATGGATTATCAGGATCATTTGGAACTACTCCATTAGAATTACGTTTCCAAGTATTAATCTTTGCAGCAACAGGAATAGCATCTGAACATGGCAAACACATATATTCATCTTTCATACTACATGAACTACAATCAGTTCCAACCAATTCAGATCCGTCATTATATTGATATTTACACATATTTCTCAAGGCAGTAGATTTTGCAGGATTAGTCATTCCATTAATAATTTTGTTTTGAACAGAGTCTTTGAAAACACTTGGAATTGTTCCCCATTCAGATTCACAAGAAGAACAATCGCAAGGTACATTGGCAAGACCATCTGTTAAAATATAAATGACCTTATCAGCATCAGCTCTTCCACCATTTTCTGGTCTTAATGCATTGACTGCAGCTCTTAGTCCGGGCACTTGTGCGGTAAAGCCAGCGTCGTACTTCATAGTAGATAAGGTCTTATTGATCAAAGATCCATCAGTTGACAAGGCCAAGGTCAGTGTAGCAGAAGAATGGAAGCGAACGATGGAAACTTTTACGGCATCATCAGCAAGCTTCATTCTACCAGTAATTCTCTGACACAAATCTCTGATTAGGTTAAAGTTTGGTACACCAATTGATTGAGAAGAGTCCAATAAAAAGACAAAGTCAAGTTTGGCAGTACAATAGCAATTCTTGAACTCAATGTAGACATCAGCACTTCTAATAGCTCCAAGTGCAGTAGTCATTGTATATCTGAACTTATCAGCTTGGCAAGTATTTTGGTCAGAGTCAACTTCAACAGCAATTTCATCATTAACAGTTACAAATCTTGGTTGCTTGTGGCAATAAGTAGCATCTGGACAACTAATGTTCAATAATGTGAGAGTGCTAGAAGTACCCAATTCATCATTGTCATTTGCCAAGATTTGTGAAGCGAAAATTCTGATTGTTTGACCTTGAGGAATTGAGAATCTGTCATCTCTGGCAACTGGATCAATTGGAACGATCACAAATGTAATGGTGGCATTACTTTTACCAGAAGGAGTATTAGAATCAGATACAGAAACACTCATTTTACAAGTACCAGAAACAACAGTGTAAATTCTCTTGAATGTGATCAATCCACTTGCTGAGTTCATGCTAACACCTGTAGAAATGGATGAACAATTGTTTGAACCAGCAGTATAAGTCAAAGTATCACCATCTGCATCAGTTGCCTTATAGCTCAAGTAGTGAGACAAAGAATCAGCAGTTGGATAAATATAAAAGATTGTATCATTGGCAGATGGATTAGCATTTTGGATGATAATTTGAATACTACATGATGAACTTGTCAATTGTGTATCAGTTGCAGTGTAAGAGAAGGTAACAGTACCAGTATTAGTTGCTGAGGCAGTAAATACCTTACCACTCAAAGTACCCAATGAACCAGGTGAACCAGATAAGGTGAAAGTAATTGGATCATTATTGGAATCTGTTCCTGAGAATTTAGTTGAGAGATCAACACTTCCCTTCTTATTTAAATATATTGTTGAAACAACACCACAAGTTGGAGCAGAATTACTAAAGATTACAGTAAATGTCAACTTGCTGATGCTATAGTGAAGACCATCATACAAGTAGAAAGTAATTTGCTTAGTTCCAGAAACAGTCTTTGGAGTGTTCAATCTAATACCTGTTCCACAGTGATGGAAGAATCAACAGAGACAAGATTAGTAATAGTTACTGAATCTCCATCAACATCAGGGTTGGCATAGGTGGCAATTTCAGACCAGGTAAAATCATAAGTTGTCTTGGTGTAATCTCTGGCAATATTGACAGTCTTACCAGTTCCGGTTGGAGCATTGTTTGAAAGAATAATAGTGACATTACCAGTGCTGGTAGAAATACCATCGAAACATTGGAATTTGAATGATGCAGTAGCATTGTAAAGATTACCAGAAATTTGAGTAAAAACAAGAGAGGTAACACTTGGAGTGAAGGTAACAGTTGTACCAGAGAGACTTGTTGAACCACCAGCAACATTTGAAATAACACCATTGAATGCAACATATGGAATATCCAATGTATCAATATCAGAACAGACATTAGCTAAAGAAACTGAAACAGGAGAATTCCACTTTCCATAAACAACTTGATTCTTGGCAGTTGGGACAGTGTTATAAACATTTACATTGACAACAGTAGCAGTGCTTTGGAGAGATTCAGCACCATCAGTAAACTTGTATGAAACTACATCAGTACCAAGAGAAGGTGGACTAGTTGGAGCATTGTAAAGTAATGATTGAGAACCAGAAACAATGGAAACTGTACCCTTTTGAGCAGTTGCAGTTTGAATTGTTAAACTATCACCTTCAGAATCCTTATAGGTAGGAGCAAACTTGGCAAATGGATTCAAAGGAACATTAGTTGCTCTCCAGTGAACACTCAAAGAGTCAGCAACAGGTGTAACCATAGTATTATAAACAGTAACAGTGGCAGTACCTGGAGAAGAGAGGAGAGAATCAGAAGCAGTATAAGAGTATGTAAACTTGCCCAAATAAACAGATGTACCAGCAGTAGCAACAGCATTTGGTGAAGTGGAAATGGCAACAGTACCAGCACTAGATGGTGAAACACTTCCAGAAACAATACCATAAGTCAATGGATCATTTTGTCCATCAGTGACACCTGTGGCCAAATTCATTGTGTAACCAAGTTTGTGAACAGCCCAGTGAACAGTGTATGATTTGGCATTAGTAACTGGAGCAGTATTGATTATATTGATAGTAACAGTGAAAGTTACAAAGGCAAGACCATCAGTAGCAGTAGCTTTGAATGAATCAGAACCAACATAATTGGCTGGAGAAGTGTAAGTAACACTTGAACCAGAGAGTGCAGAAACAGTACCCAAAGTACCAGTCTTGTCAACACCAGAAATTTTTCCCTTAATTTCACGACCAGCAGAATAATCAGCATCAGCATAATTTTGTAACAAATCAATCACAACTGATTTACCCCAATTAATATTTTGAGTTGGAACACTGGCAGTTGGAGCATTATTGTAAGTGGAAACTGAAACAGAGACGTTACTAACAATACCATCTTTAACACTAACAATGAAAGAATCAAGATAGATCTTTCTGGCAGGAGTGAAATAAATCTTACCACCTTCAAAGTAAGCAATTCCTTCAGAAGGTTGTTGAACAATACCCATAATGGTTGATGTGGTCAACTTGGAAGTAATATTAAGGAAAGCCTTGGTAACATTCCAGTGAACATCATAGGCTTGTGAATAATCAGCATTAGAAAGTGAGCTAACAATGATAGTGAATTTACATTGGCTAGATTCAACAATACCATCAGTAACCTTATAACCATAAACACGATTACCCAATTGACCATTTGGTTTGAAGAGGAGGTTACCATTTGAAACAGAGAATGTATCACCTGAGAATGAACCAGACATGATTGCACTACTAGCTGCCAAATAAGGAACATCAGCAGAATCAGCATCACTAACAGATGAAGAAACGGAGAATGTTTGACCAACTGACACATAGATAGCATTGAAGAAAACAGTAATATCAGTACATGTTGGAGCATTGTTAGTTATAGTAACAGTAGCAGTCTTTGATCCAGTATTTGCCAAACCATCAGAAACTGAGAAGGAACAGGTGGCAGAACCAGTAGTCTTGGTTGGAGCTGTAACTCTAACCTTGGCAATTGAATCAGTGGTCTTGCTACATGAAGCACCAGAAATACCAGTAGCAGTTGGATTAACAGTCAATGTAAGAGCGTCACCATCAGCATCAGTTGTTGAGGAATAAACAGAGAAATCTTGTTGATTAGATTGAGCAGCGAAAGCTCTCCAGTGAATAGAAGTTGAAACACTTGAAGCAACTGGCTTGTCATTGTTAGTGAAAGTAACAGTGACAGTTGCTGGATCAGCATCAGTAACAGTATCAGTAATGACATATTGGAAGGTATCAGTAACACCATCCTTCTTTGGAGTATAATCAATATCATTTCCATTCTTAACAGCGGCAGCACTTCCAGAAACAGATTTGATTGAAATTGGATCAAGGTCGGCATCCTTATCGTTAGACATGACACTCAATGTTTGTTTTGGAGCAGCCCAGTGGTAAGTGTAAGCATCAGCAAAAGCGACTGGTTTGGTATTTGTAACCAAGACATTGACATTTCCAATGGTATTCTTGTTTCCATCAGAGACGGTATACTTAATTTGCTTAGTACCAACAGTAGCAGAGGTTTGAGTTGAAACAAACTTGACAGTTTGACTATCAAAAACTGAAGCAGTACAGCATCAACTAGAGCATTGGTAACAGACAAGGAATCACCTTCATTATCAGAATCATTAACCAAAACACTGACTAAAACACCAGCATCATTTCTCCAGTGAGTAGTGGCAGTATCATCAACAGCAACAGGAGCAGTATTCAAAACATTAATTGTAACAGTAGCAGCATTTGACAAGAAATTGGCAACACTACCATCGTTCAACTTGTATTGGAAAGTATCAACACCAACAAATGCAGTATTTGGAGTATATCTTACACTATCACTAATAACTTCAACAACACCATTAGATGGATTTTGATAAATTTCAATCTTGGAAGAAGGCAAATCACCATTGATATCAGCATCATTAGTCTTGACAGGGCACAAAATATTGTGATTCCAGTTAACACTATAAGTATCATCTCTAGCAACTGGAGCATTATTGACAACATTCAAAGTGACAGTGGCCTTATTTTCAGAAACCAAACCGTCAACATCAATTACATCATAAGTAAGGTAATCAGTGTACTCTTCATTAGCAGCAGTATAGAATAAGGTATCATTTTCACCAGAATTCTTAACAATAGTAGCCAAGATATTTTTAACAGTTGATCTATCAACAGAGTTAATTGTTGAAATAAGATCGAAATTAGGATCATAATCATTATTCAAAACGTTCAAAGTGGCATTAAGACCCTTTGAAATAGTAAAAACATCATCAACAGGAACAGGTGGATTATTGATAATGTTAATACTAATCTTACCAGTTGAGAAACCAGTAGAATCTGGATTACCTTGTACATCTTTGCTTTGATCATAGATTCTATAGGAGGCAACATCAGTAGCCAAACTACCCTTTGGAGCAACATACAATACATGTGTAGCATTATAAATAGAAACAGAACCACCATTCTTGGTAGTTGATTGCCAACCGTTATTAGTTAATTGAAGAAGTTCAGTATCGCCTGGGTTAACATCATAGTCATTGGCAAGAACATTAATCAAAACTTGTTGATTCTTATTACAAGTAACAGTGTCATCAACAGCAACAGGTGGATTATTGACTACATTAATAGTAATCTTACCATAGCCATCAGATTCACCATCTGTCATGGAAATATCCAAAGTTTGTGAGTAAACAACTCCAGGAGTTGGAGTATAAACAATAGTGTAATTATTAGTTTCAACGCTAACCCAATCACAACAATCAAGGTTGACACGTTTAGTACCCTTAGCAACTTGCATGGAAGCAGCTGGATTAAGAGAGGCCAATGCAGGAGTAACTTTGGTCAATACGACAACATCCTTTCCATCAGGATCAGAGTAATCAATTGAAATGAGGTTATTGGAAGAGGACTTTCCAACAGTGACAGTCTTGGAGTAGACAGTTGGTTCAGTATTGTAAACTTGAACAGAAACTACAGCAGATCCTGAAGCTTGACTATCAGAAATTGAATATTCGAAAGAATCAGTATACTTTTTGGTTAAAACACTTGAAGTGAAATAGACAACAGTCTTGTCTTGAACACGAAGAGCACCATAACCAGCACCAACAGCGTTGGTAACATTGAAATCATCACCATTGATATCATAATCATTTTGTAAAATGAGCAATTCCAAACTACTATATTTTGGAATTCTGTAAACATCATCAGTAGCAACAGGAGCATCATTTTCAACTTCAACAGTAACAGTTGAAGAAGCAGTGTCATTACCATCTGAGATGGTATACTTGAATTGTTCGATACCATTGAAACCATTAACAGGAGTGTACAAGAAACCATTGTAAGGATCAATTTCAATTGCACCTAAACTTTGAGCATTACCACTGGTAACTTGTTGATCAGCGAAGCCAGTAACATACAAGACATCATTATCAATATCAGTAATCTTTTCATCATTGTCACCAATATAATTGAAAATATCAACGAGAGCCTTATTAGCATTCTTGGAGATCTTCTTATAGATTGGAACAGCTTGAGGAGGTCTATTCAAAACTTGAACAGTAACAGTAGCATTGGCTGTAACAAAGGAATTACTAACTTCATAACTGAAAGTGTCATTTCCAGAGAAAGAACCAATGGATTGATAAACAACTTGGGAACGAGAAAGAATCTTGACAGTACCATACTTTGGTTGATCAACAATTTGAGTCAAAGTAAGATTACCACCACGTGGATCGTTATCATTTATGAGTACATCAACAGTAATAGGCACTCTCTTGTAAGTAGTAGCAAAATCAGGTTGACTAGATTTCAATTAATTTCAAATAATGAATTTTAAAAGTACATACGGTTGAGGACTAGAATAACCAACACCAACTGAAACCAAGATAATAGTAGCAACTGTGGAAGCAACTACCAAAGCTGTAATAATTGCACCAACCTAACATTCAAAATATTAAACATACAAAATATTTAAAAAACATACAATTGTCTGACTAATAGTACCTCCTTTCTACTCAACACGGATTCATCATTTAAAAAAGTAATTTTAACAATAAATTAATATTGATGATGATTGAACCGCACCAGAAAAAGCGCCAAAGGAGCAAAGAAGGAAAATCGCGTTGCAAAGATTCAGAAGATCAAATGTGATGCCAATTTTTTAAAAAGTTGAATTGACCGCGTTTTGGTCAAAGTGGAGAATTTAGAAAAGAAACAACATGGCCATTCAAAGTAATTAGTTTAGCATGTGATATTAAAATATCGAAAGAGTAAGAGAGATCACAGTGCCAGATGTCATTGGTGTGGAGAAAGATCAGCAACAACAACAATAAAGAATTATAATTAAGCTCATGTGAAATATGTAAACTTACCAACAATGAAAGGTTAATATTGAGACCAGAACTTGAAGTGGTAGAACCGTTCAAGATAGTAGCTGGCATCTTGATTGTTTTTTTTAATGATGAAGTATGTTTTGCTCGAGGTGGAAGGTTAGTTTTATTGACTTTTGACACTCGTAGTGGTAGAGTTGAAAGTATCAAACCACTTGACATCAAAAAGTTGAGTGAATAGGGCAGTTTACAACGACAGTAAGGCAGTTCACTCTGGAATCCTCCTCGTTAATTTACCGCTCTATTGAAAATTCATAGGTTTTAAACCTTTCACATGTTAGAGGTTTGAAGTGTTCATTTCAAACATTCAGCATGTTCATGCACATTTAAAATGTACAATGGTTGTGACATTTGTCAGTGATTCGCGTTCGATAATCAATACAACAAGCTGTAGTAGTACATTTTATGTGCATGAACATGCTGAATGTTTGCTGATGATTACAATACCAGAGGTGATGCACAACTTGCTTGTTCTGAGCATCTACTGCTAGCGAGTTATCAGTTGATTGGATGTAGGAATATTTGAGCAGTATTGATGGAAATATTTCACATTACAGTTAGTTACTGCTTCTCGTACAAGTATCAAACAGCACCCAAAGGCTCAAAATCTTTGTACAAGTATTCCTACTAACTTTAAAACTCTGTGAATTTTCCAATTTCCCACGTTACTTGAAGTGTCAAATATTTACCAACACTTCCTTGGTCAATTGGTTTTTGGAAAATTAAAAGAGTATCAATAAGGCATTCGGTATTTGAGGGTCCAAATTACCCAACTACAGTTTCAATATCGATATATGTTTGTTCCACCACCCAACAATCCTTAGAAAAAAAACGCAATGCAAGGCATCGCTCATCTCATTTCCACACGAGTCTTGCTGCTCATTTTGGTTGGGTTGTTATCATCATCCGCAACATATCATGTTGTGAATGGACAACAAAATTTTACATGCACTCTCCCAGGAGGATGCAGCATTAGATCCTACCTTACCGACCTTAATGCAGAACTTGCAAAGCTAGTGAGTACAAAGGCTAAAATCACGTCTGCTATTTCCCTCCTCAACTCTACTGGAAATGCAAATTTGACCTCAATTATAATACTGAGACAAAAACAATCTGATAAAATTCAAACCGCCATCGATAGTCTCTCATTGGAAGTTAACACCATCACAACAACATGTCAACATTATAGTGGTGATGATTGCAACCAAGGATGCGCCTCAGGATGGGCCGGAATCAATTGCATGCAAATGGCATGTTTTGGTGTACTCGCCACAAGCGCCTCAGTTTGTTCTGGACGTGGTAACTGTACATCCTCCAATAAGTGTTCCTGTAAATCACCTTACATTGGAGATAATTGTGAAACAGTCAATGGTACAACAACCAGCTATAATTCAGTGAGTGGATTTAAATATGCCGATGGAACCTATGCAAGATCATGTAAGGAGTATAGAAATCCAATAGCTCCTAGAATGTACTTGGGTGAAGGAAGTGGATTGTATCAAATTAAACCTGGAAATACAGTCATGACAGTCTATTGTGATATGGATACAGACGGTGGAGGATGGACCATGTTTGCTGGTATTAGAAGAGACTATTACGGAGCTCACTTCCACGTCTTTGATGATAATGCTGCCACCACTACAAATGATACTATTACATTCCACATTCCAACATCTGATTTGATGAATATTTCCACTCAGATTAGAGCATCCACTGACAGTGGTAATGCAGCAACTATTGCTTTTTCTAATTTCTTTACAAATGATTGGCAATATAGTGCCTATTGTACAATTCCACAAGGATTGAGAGATTACGTTCAAAGAACAAGAGTAACAGCATACAGTGATCCAACGATGCAAACTTATTATGCTGCCATTCCTGCAACATGTTACAATTTGAAGAATGTTCTAACTCTTCCAACCTATGTCACCTATAGTAAGACATCAGATATGCACTGTATGGGGTTCAGAATGGGTATTCCACGTGCTACAACTGACTCTTTCATGAATGCAGGTGCAGGCACGGTTTGGGCAACTTATACTTATCCTTCATGTCCTGAGGGAGGTCCAGGTCCTGGATTCAATCCTGGTGTTCAATACGTCTATGATACAACAAGTGTTGCTAGTGCTACACTCACCAACAGAAATGGTGCTCTTTACTTGAGATAAATTTAAAGTGATTCAACATTATCGGAATTTGTGTTTGTAGTGAATTGTGTTCTTGATATTCGAAACCGTTCATTTTTTTAATACAAATAAAATGAAAGAAGACAAATTCCAATTCTAGAAAGTAATGGTTGCCATTTACAACAATAAAACACAATACAAACATTCAACCCTATGCATTACAAAAAACAATAAAATTTACAATTTCTTTGAAATTTCACTTTGAAATATCTTGAAACCCTTCTTTCTTCAACATTACCACTGCGAATCACAACCTCAGCGCCAAAAATATTTTAGCCAGCAAGGTCATCGAGTCATATGTCAAGTCACATCTCAAAAAAAAACAAAATGAAAAGTTGGAGCAACCGTTTGCTTCTCTTTTTCGCTCTCACCTGCTTGCTCATCTTTCTCTTCCAATCATCATCAACAACAACAGTGGTGCAAGCTGGTGGTATCGATGAGAGTGCCAAACAGAATCGATTAGGCGGTTTAACCTCGTCGTGGGCCTCCCCAAACAGCGAACAAGCCGCAACCGCTGCCATCATACAAGAGAATGAACTTGTTGCCGCCACAACAACATCATCATCAACAACATCAGCCATGACAATGACCTCCTTGAGACCGGTAGAGCAGTTGGAAAGTTACGGCTCCGTTGTTTTGAGTGATGAGGAGTCGTTTGGAGCCTTTGAAAAAAATACTCTCAACACAGCTACCACCGCTCATGAATTGAATAATGATGAGGAGATTTCAAATTTGTTGGGACACTTGTTGGAGAATCAGGAAGAGGGATTGAATGGAGAGGACTTGGAGGAGGAAGCTGCTGCTGCTAGTGAAGGAGTTAGTTCGGATGAAAATGAGGAATTGGTAGAAACTTTAAATGATGAGGATAGTGAATCTGAGATTGAGGAAGCCTCTTCAAATACTAGTGAAGGATATGGTCTTGATGAGGCTCTTGATTCAAGTGGAGTTGCTACCTTGTCTACTCAAAGTGAACAACAATTAAATCACAAAAAGTATTTGAAACGTAGTGTCAGACATGCAAAGAGAAATAATTATAATTGTAATCTATTATGTTTGGCTCACATTTTGTTGGCCTCACTAGAAAACTCTCTGATGCTCGAACAATAATCAAGGCTCTCAGACAAAAGAGATCTATTATTAATAAGAAACTCTATCCATTGCAACAATTGGTTGTCATGACAAAGAAGAATTTGGAAGATAGCAAGGATGAGGAAAACAAGGCTGAACATCAACATAACAAGATTAAGGCTGAAAGAAATGTCACCAGATTGCAAAAACTTAAAAAGTTGAACAATGACAAGTTGAAGAATGCTTTGAACAATCTCAAAAAGCTCAAGACCAAGAAGGCCATTGCATACAACCGTTTGAAAAAGTTGATCAACTTACACATTGCCAAATTGTTGAAACGTTACAAGATTGCTCTGAAGAGTAAGTCACAAGCCGTCTCTATTTACAAGGCTCAAAAGGAAAAGCATGGCAAGACCAAGTTTATTGCTCCATACCTTGTCAATTTTGCCAAGTTGGATGTTTTAATTGCTCAAAAGAGATATTCCAATGCCATGTACTTTTATTTGAGAAGACAAATCTTTGTCTTGAACTATTTGGTCAAACATAGAAATAATGTCTTCAAGGTTTTGAACTATGAAAATGCTCGTTCCAAGGTCTTTAACTTGAAATTGGAAGAAGAAAAGAAGAAGGTTGTCGAATGGGAAAAACAATTAGAAGCTGCTACCACTGAGGTCATTAAAAACAAATTGAAGGGAGTTCTCCAAGTTAGCAAGGTCAAGATTGAACAATACAAAAAGCACATTGCCACTTGTACCATTTTGATCAAGAGGGCCAAGACAACTCTTGAAAAGGTCGCTCTCAAATTGAAAGAAGCTGCCGCTGTTCTCTCCTCTCGTAAGATTACTCTTCCAAAGGGATTGCATAAACTCCTCAAGACCAAGTATGAAAAGCAAGTTGCTGCTATTGAAAAGAAGAAGAAGATTTATGAAACTGCCTCTAACAAGGATGAACTTTTGAAGAGTCTTCCAAAGCCAGTCGATTATACTGAAAAGACCTACATTAGACTTGCTTTAAAGAAGAACAAACTCCCATACATTTGTACAGTCAGCAAGAATTCTAGTAATAAGGAAAAGATTGAATCTCAATCAGTTACCAATGATCTCTTCCTCAAACCACTCATTTGTTTCCACAAGACAAAGACCTTGGTTAAGGTTTCCTATGTTATTGGTCAAAACATTTTGAATATTCAAAAGATCAAATCCAAATGGCTCAGACAACGTGTCAGACTTTCACTCAACGATAAGGGACGTTTAGTTGCCAAGTTTAAGAAGAGCAAGTCATTGAATAAGACTTCTCCAAAATATTTGAAGAAGAAACTTTTTAATGATCGTGTCAAGTATATTCAAACTCACCAAACTACTTCCAGAGCTATTATCAAGTCATTTGTCATGAAGTATTACGCTTTACCAAATGATGCTTTCAATATCAAGTTTGTCCTCTCTCGTGGTACTGGTAGAGTTGTTAAACCACAAAAGAAGAGAGTTGTCAAGAAGGTTAAGAAGGTAGTTGCAAAGAAGCAATAAAAATGTATTATCTTGAATGTAAAATATTTATTCAGGACATTTCAATAACATCCTTATTTACCAGTTGTGTCTAGAAGGAATAAACAAATAATACCCAACCAATCAAGAATGCAATTAACACTACATTCATCCCGTTCTTGGTAGAATTGCCAGTAACTGTACTCTTCTTTCCAACCACTGTTGAAGATGAAGTTGGAATGACAATTGAATTGGTAAACTCTAATGGTCTCTCCACAACATTTACCAATACATTCTTTGAATCCAATATCTTAATTGAAGTGGTAAAGCTTCCAATCTTGACACTATTCTTTGCTTGGAAGGAGAATTTCAATAGTTGTCCAGATTTGACAAACTCGACAACATTGGTCGAAAGTGTAATACTCGTTCCATTATTATTAGTCACAACAGCAGTTGAGTTCAAACTTGTTGTTCCATCCAATAAGGTGAGAGCTGTTGTTCCAGTTTGTAATTGAGGAAGAGAATCACCACCGAAAGTGAAAATGAAACGTTCACCATAAATACTTCTCACTGGTGTCCAAGTTACAATTTTCACTTCATAGGTGGTTGACTTGGCATAGGAATTATCTTGAATGGTTAATGAAGCACAAGGTGAATCAGAGAAACGAGCTACTGAACATCCAACAATGAAATTATTTGGCATCCATGAAGTTAAATTAGAAACTTGACTTTTGGCTGATTGTGAAATTGGGAAACTCCAAGCATCACAGAAAGGCCCAAGATTTCTACCAACAATCTTACTGTATCTTACAACCCATTGATCTCTCTTTTCATCCTCGCTGGTTGGTAAAGTTCCAGAAGCTGCTGTATAATATTCAGCAAATGCCTTTCGAATAGAAACCCAACCGAAAGCTTGAATCAAATCCAAATAAAACAATAAACCAGCACTTGTCCAATCCCCCTTATAATCCTGAGTATTTCCCTTAAAAGTGGTCTCAAGACCTCTCGGTGGATTAAACGACTTTCCATAAGTATTGGCCGAATCTGGGAAATTCTCTTCCAAATATAAAGAGAAAATATTACAAGTTACTTCAACTGCTTGAGAGTAGGTCCAATCAGAAACTTGGAAATTGTGTCCCAATTCATGGTAATGTCCCCAACGTCCAGGAGTTTTTGAAGCAAGAGCCATGTTGGCAGGGTTGACTGCCTTAATAGTTCCTTCATTTTGGTCCTGAAATGCCATAATTGGGTATCCAGAATGCATATATCCAATTGAAATATCGATATCAATTTGCATTCTTTCCTTATAATCTCTAATTGGTCTTTGGGAGAGTTCATAATAAAGCTCCAAAACCTTTTTCCAGTAATTTGTGACACTGGTCAATTCTGTCAAGTTTCTGGCATAGGACGACTCAACATTGAATACGAAATAATCGGATTCAACTTCTACCCAAGGTCCTGGATAATTTCTAATGGTATTTTTCCAATCAGAATCTGTGTGAAGGTCATTTCTAAAAAAGGGAGNTTTTTACCACTTGTCCTGTGATGGTTGCAGTGAAGGATAACGGAATTTTGGACACATCAAAGTAAATGGTACCTCCACTATACGATATA